TATATATATATATATAAAGTGTATTAATAGATGAAATATTATATAGTTCAAGATCAAATAGGAATTCCAACTATATAGTAAGTCAATAAGTTTCACCAGAGAGTGAATTCCTAGCAATTAATTTCGTCTTATCCATGAAGAACGGAGAATTCACCTGCCAACACTCTTGCAGGTGGAATGTTCACTCTTAAATCGTGTTTGGCATTTGAAGCCACTGGATCAAAAGAAGGTCTACCCAAATTGCTGGTAGACCTTATACTTCTCACCGCATCATGATCCACCGACCTTCTGAAACAAAACAAAAAAATCAATCGCAAACGATTCAGAATCCAACACAAGACGTTTGACCCCGTAGTAGGAACAGCAGCGATGGTTTACCTGCGAAAAGCGAAGCCAGGCTGTTCGAAAGGGGGCGATCCGAGTTGATGATGATCGTATCGACGAGTCAACGGGGAGTCGGGACGCGGAAGCGGTTGCGGAACCGCAGAGGAAGACCAGTGGTCAGAAGCTGAACCGGACTTGAAAGAGGGAAGAGGAGAAGCGGGTAGAGAAGTGGTGGAATGCAGACCAGCGTCTTTGTCACTGAGGTATCGGAGCCTCCCCTGCCGAGTGAGCCTACGTTGTTTAATCGTAGGTTGGGGAGAAGAAGGCTTGTTACAGTTGGCGTTGCTCATTGTTTGAGAAGAAAAAGAAGAAGAAGGTCGTCATGTGAGAGTGGTGCTTTTGCGTTTAGCGTTTTGGTAAGTTGGTGTGCAAAAAAGCAAAGCGAGAAGAAGCGCCCGTGGAAGGAAACACCTACGCTGCTTCTTTGCTTGCCCTATTTTCCAATTCAAATTGGCTCTTCAGTTGAATGGCGAATATTTTGGTCAACACTTCTGACTTTGGATTAAATTAATGGTTTTGTCTGTTAAACAAAATAAAGGAAATTGAAGAGAGCAACGCGAGTGAGTCGTGTCTTGCCTCTTGACTTGGGCTTTCACGTCTAAACTAAACTCAAACACCACACCTTTCAAAACTTATCTCCATTCGAACCCTTAGAAACCGCCAAGCAAACGCACTTGGCTCACGTTTTCTAATTTCAGATCCAAATATCCACCCTTTAAATGTTTTTTCTCTCATTACATATTAATCACATGCATTTTCATTTTTATTTTTATTTTTATTTTTATTTTTAGCCCTTTGAGTGCTTTAGTTTATACTCTCTTTTTTTTATTCACGTGATTTCATTGTATTTATCTTTTCGTTCTCTAATGGTGACAAGCATAAATTCAAATGAGTATATCTTTTATGAAACGTATTTGACAATACTTTTCAACTTGTTGAAAGTTTTAGTTTGTTAAAATTTAACTTCTATTTTCTCATCTGATTTTATTTTATTTTTTGCCTTTTTAGTCTTATAATTTTATTTTAGTTTCTTAAACTATTTTTATTATATTAAAGCTAACGAAACACAGGGGGCAATAAAAGCACGTTTTTGCATTTTTATTGGGTTTAATCTAATACTTAAAATATTTTTTTTATGTATTGAAATATATTAGGCAAAATATATTCCTCTTGTAGAAATTACTAAAGAAGTATTGCTGGTGTAGAATTTTCAACAAGAGTAAGAAGGGTGTTGCTCACTCCACCACCATTTCATGCTCCTTTCACCTTCCTGTTTTATCCCTCCCTCCACTTTCTTATTCTTGTTTTACCTTTCAGTACAATTTTATTTTTAGGATTAATATTTTTTAACTTCTACCCACTCAAATCCCCTATGCGATGGTCTCGCTTATGCTTAACCAACAAGTATTTGTTATTGGCAGTTATGTTATTTCTTTTTCTCTTCCATTTGATCACCAAACAACACAATCATTTTAATGGTGGACTCATGTTTTTATGTTTCATTTTCTTTTGTCTCTTTGTTTTTTATGCTTCTTTTCATTGTTGTATCTTTTGAACTTTCTGATTTTATCTTACCCACACCAACGTACGAAGAGTTATGCAATCTCACATAAAAAAATGTTGATACAGATATATATGTCGCAATGTGTCAAAAAAAATATTGTGGAGGATAGTTAATTTTGTAAAAAGGTTGAAACATTTTATATAATCATTTAAATAAAAATTAAAATATTGAAATTTTAAAACTTTAAGAGAGGAATTTGATCATTTAAATTTAGAAAATTTTAAATTATAATTAAATAGTAAGAATTTTGAACTTTTGAAATTTTTTTAATTAATTCATGTATACATTTTTCATTTTTTTTATTCCGTTATGGTTTTGAAATTGAGATACAGATACTTTAACAAACACATTTTATTAACAATAATGAATATTTCTCTCATGTTAACAATCAATTGTGGTTAATTTCCATATTCATTTTGCAATCATTTTTTTTACCAACATTAACGATATATATTTCCATTGATGTCATTTAGAATTTTTTTATCAATGTCAATAAAATTATTTTTTTATGATGTTGGTCAAAAAATATTCATTATTGTTAGTCATAAAAAATTTATTTTCGTTTGGAACCGCTGCACCGCCGAATGACCACCGCAAACACCCTGCATCGCCGCACCATGAAAAGTCATACCACCGCACCACGAAACCAAACAGATATGGAGAAGAGAAGTAAAAATTGGGAGATGAGAAGAAACGGCGATGAGAGTTGGAGGGGGTGAGAATCTGAAAAGAGAGAAAATAAGACTTGGGGATAGAGGGAGTAGGGCAGTGAAAATGGGTGAGTAAAAATAGATAGAAATTTAGAGTTTCATAATAAAGTAAATAAATAGGGTTAAAAGTAAAAGATGTTACTTTTGTAATTAAAATTTGGTTTAATAGCCAATTTAGTCCTCACTTTGGTTGAAAAATCTCAATTTAGTCCCTCGTTATAAAAGTGTTTTGAATTAGTCCTAACTTTTAAAATAGTGGGTCAGATTGGTCCTTTCTGTTAAATATAAGTTAACAAAATTAATGGATGATGATGTGACACAACTTAAAGCTAACGAGGGACCAATCTAACACATCAGCTTTAAGCTGTGTCACATCATCATCCATTAATTTCGTTAACTTATATTTAACGAAAGGGACCAATCTGACCCACTATTTTAAAAGTTAGGACTAATGTAAAACACTTTTATAACGAGGGACTAAATTGAGATTTTTCAACCAATGTGGGGACTAAATTGACTATTAAACCTTAAAATTTTTTTGTAAAGGATTGAGGGAAGGTGGAGAGAGAAAGGAATGATGGTGGAGGGAGCAACATCCGAGTAACAATTATCATAAAAAAAAATGATTTAGATTGCGGTAATTAAAATGCAACCCCATAGAACTTAATCTTTTATTCAAAACCAAAGCATAATCAAGTATGGTATTATTAGATATAGATGCAACAGAGACGAAATAATTATCATTAAAGAAAATTCGTACTAACAAAAATAACTCAGATATAATTCATAATGATTAGTGAAAAATTTATTATCAACAAGAAAAAAATTAATTTGATTTATTATGACTCCAATTAATTGGGGGAAGAGATTTGTCAAATGGTCACCAGTTTATAGCCTCCGCATTAACTTAATTAAGAAAAAAAAATGTTTTTCTTCATGGGTTAACAGCTCATTATGCAACTTAAAAGAATGCAATCACTAGCATCAAGGTTGTTAGAGGGGATAGCAAGACATAAACTTTTAGTGTCTTGGTGATAAAAGAAAATAAGTCACTAAGAAAGAGTGAAAATAAAGCAACTAGTGTATTTTGTGAAAACTTGTACATGAAAGCTAGATTGAATATGAAAGTTTTTACTATACTAACACTACAAAAAAAAAATGTTAAATGACATATGAAATTTTACCAAAAAAAAAATCATTGCTAAAATCAAATTTATTGAAAATATTTTACTATAGGATTATAGAATTTTAATTATCTACAAATCTATTATCAATGATAAAATTAGTTGTTAATATCTGTCTGTGAATAAAAAAATTTATTATCAAAGGAATATCAATAATGCCTTTAAAATGCATTGATAATCTAAATGTTTATTATAAAGAAAATATTTATCAACAAATTTCATTAGTAAAATGAGTAAAGCTGTCAATAATTAATTTTTTTAATCCTCTGATAAATTCGTCTGTAATTAAATTCATTAATAAATTCATTGGTAATTTAATTTATTTAAAATTCATTCATAAATTTATTGGTAATTTTTTTTTAAATACGTCTGTAATGTATTTTTAAATGCATTTGTTTTTTAATTTTTTGAAAATTGTCAGTAATTAAAATATGTTGTAAATCTATTGGTACTTTAAATTTTTTTAAATTATCAACAAAAGTTATAAGTAAAATTAGTGTCAAAATTCCTAACAAAATTATATGAAATATTTGTTATAAATAATTAGATATGAGTGATAAAAATATAAGAAAGGAAAAAGAGGAGGAGACTAAGATATCAATGTTAAAGACAGTAATGATAATAACAATAATGTGGAAAAAAATAAAGAGTTAGTAGTACATGAAAAAGAGATGAAAAAACTAAATCACGATATTTATTTACTAATGATCAATATTTATTAGTAATTATCAAATAATATTTATAAATAGATTTTGATTGTTAGTAGTTATTGACAATTTTTTCAATTTGTTTATAAAATTTACATATGTAAATTTAAGTTTCACGTTAGATAAATACAACAAAATTGAGAACCTTATATAAAAACTCATAAATTCAATGTTTTAAAATTTTTTGTTGAAAGTAATCTCAGTCTTTATAAATATTGAATTTAAGTTTAATACTATTGTAAATTTTTAATAAATTATGCATTCATTTATACATAAAAGTTTATCTATAATATTTATATATAAATTATACGTTGGTTGTTTTAAAATGTATTAAATTATCCATCTTACGAATTATTTATATATTTTTCATGGTTACTTTAAGAATTATGATTTATGGTTAAATTAAGTTTATTTCTGGTCATTTTATTTCGTCATTCTTTAATGAATGTTTCAAAGCATTCTTGTGGTAGAAAACTATTTTAAGAATTTGGACAATACAAGTTCAACATTCCACTTGCTAAAATAGAAAAAAAAATCATAAGAACTATTATAATAAATTAGGTGTTTTACTAGATGAAACATAATATATTTCAAATATATTTTATTTTATTTATTATTTTCGCTACTATACTTTTAAAAGAAATATATTATAAATAATCACATGCATGATATTAGATATTTCTAAAACAGTCATATTAACCACTGTTTAACAAGAGAATGATGGATATCTCATTCTAAAAACGTACATTATATCAACCATGAATGATTTACGTTAGTACAAATCAGTGAGCGAATGTGACTCAAACAATTCTAAAATAAAATCTTAAACAAATAAAATAATATTGTCGAAGTATAAGGATATAAACTCCAATATATCCTTAAAAACTACGATCCAATAAATATCTAGAAAAAATAAATTTTGGGTAGTTTTCTTCTTTAAGATCCCAATAGGCATTACTTGGAACAAGGTAAAAGTAGAAAAAAACATACTTTATTTCATTTTCTTATGTAACATAGTATAATAGAGTACAAGAGTAATGCATTGAGTACACCTTAAGTTATCTACCTTTATAATTATTTATGCACGGAATTTATTGATGTTAAAATTATACACCTAAAAACTCTTAAATAAAAAATAGTGAATGTGTGTGGATTTTCTTGACATGTATTTAAGAGATTCTTAACTTATTTCCAATATCAATTGTTTAGTGATGAAGGCAAAATAATGTGTTATGACAAAAACACTCTATTTTTGTTATCAAGTAATGAAAATTGTGAAGATAACTTTTCAAGATTATACACATGATATTAAGAATAATGGTATGATAA